ACGAGGGCTGTGCAGCCATGTCAGATGTCCCCATATCTGATGTTCTCTGGGTGTCCTGCACTCCATGGTGCCCTGTGACTCTGTGGGGTGACGAGGGCAGGCTCCTGCCACGGTGCTGTGGATCTGCTCTGAGGGCCAAGAGCTGCTGCCTGGAGGTCATTTTGGAGGCCATGGAAGAAGTGTATTTCTGGAGAGGGATTTGAGGGCCAGTCCCACCTGCTCATCCCAGCTCCAGTGACCCACCTTGTGAGGAAAACACTCCCATTTTCCCTGGAAAATAAGGCAGCAGTACCAGACAGGGACTGCCACAAAAGCATCATCGATGGGCTTGGCATTGCTGTCACCAGAGTAGCACCCAGCAGTGTGGAACACCTGGGCCGTGATGGAAACCCGCCAGGTTTGTTGAGAATTTWGTTTCATATATGGCTGAAAGCACAGTATTTTTGAGTATTAATTTTCTTTCTTGCTTTGGTGGCGGCAAGGGGTGAAGTGTTATATATGGAAAAGGAGCACAATGAGGTTACTTTTTTTCCCCAGGAGGTCACGGTGACAGGTCCTTGAAGGACATGGAAGTTAAGTGCAACGCCAAGAGAACTCAGGAGACCAAGTTTGGAAAAACCTGCCCCATATATATTTTTTTTTCTGGAGAAAGGKACGAATGCAGGAAGAAAAGGCTTTTACATAGGAAGTAACAAATTAGCAGGAGCAGAAGATGGTCTGTAGGGAGGGAGGAAGCCAAGGGGATGGATGGCTAGTGCTTTTACAAGCTGTTGTGCACAAGGTGCTGAACTACCCGGGGAGCTGTTTGGGGTTAGCCAGTTGTTGCTGCTGTGTCTCTGGTTTGGGATTGTGCCCTTTGCCTGTGGGCAGTTCTCTCTCTCCCTTGTTGTCCAGCCGGTTTACATCACTCGTTAACTGGGAGGAGAAGTAGCTCCCTCCTTGGCTTCCCCTCCCAGAGTGGAAGTGGGGAGCTGGAGTSCTTCCTTTCTGCTTGGGGCTGGGATCCCATGGGGCTCAGGCTGAGCCCCTACAGCCACAGAGTGGTCGGGGACGAATGAGGAAGCGGTGGCTTGAGCAAAACCTTGGCCCTATAGAAATCCTTCCTGCAGAGCAGTGGGCAGGRCACCAGGCACCCCCTCTGCAGCAGCAGCAGCGTGTTTTCAGTTTTCATTGTGATGCAAATCTTGCGCTGTAATTTGGGTCACATTCAGGTTCACCCAGTTCTTGTGGCTGGAACTGAAACCAGCACGTCTTCACTTTTGCTCGCAGCTCTCAGCGCTCTCCTCTCTCACTCTCACAGTGGTGGTGGTTTTGTGATGAGGCTCAAGGATCCCTGGAGAGGAGCCCTTCCCTGGAGCACCTCATGGATCTCGGGGACAGGGAGGTCACCACGGCTCCATCTCCTCTCCAGTGGCTCTTTGGTGGGATGTGCCCAGCACCCATGGGTGTGCTCTGACACTGTRAGGTTTGGAGGAGCGGTTTCGTTCAATCAGAGCTGCTCACAGCAGCCTTGCAGGGCTGACACCCCGAGCAGCACCTGCAAACACCCAAAGCAGCTCCCGAGTGCAGCCGTGAGACACTGCCCTGCTCCCCAGGCACTGAAAACACTGCCTCGGCTTCTGGGAAACCTGATGTACAGATTGGAGCAGGAGATTTACAGCCTTCTTGCACGAAACTTGACTTCTCCTCACCCCCYGCTGGGAGCGAGCCTGTAAATGTTTAAGTCACCTCACTGTTATCCTGTGTGGGGTCTTTGTTCCTCGCCTCTCCTGCTTATGTTGACCTTCTCTGGCTGCACAGTCGGCATTAAATTCTGGGGCACAGGGCAAAGGCAGGGCTTGGTCACCTCTTCCCTGCCCCCCTTGGAAGCGCTGACTTTTGCTGCTGTCTGATGTGGATTAGTGGGGCTCCCCTCGAGCTCTGGGCCCTGGTCAGTCACCTCAGTTGCTCTCTCCTAAATCTAATTCTGTTCCSCTTTGTCTGGAATATAATGCTGCCTGGAATTCATTTTAAATGCAGAGCAGGGTCATGGGAGGCTTCAGGGACAGCTCAGATGCCTTGTTGGGACTCAGGCTGTGCTAAAGGCACCCCAGGCCCGTTTTGTACAATTGACTGTAAAGTCAGTGTTTGCTTGAGCCGGCTGTTGGAAAATCACCTGCAGCAGGCTCTGCTCCGTGCAGCTGCTGCTGTCCTTTCTGGTGCCCAGGGTGGGCTCTGGGCACGGCTCCTCCTCCCACCCACACCAGTTCAGACCAAAAAATCTCCAGTGCCCATCAGTAGAGGGTCCAGCCCTTGGTACTTCTTCATCCCAATCCTACCCCTTGTGCTTTCTGTTTCTGGCTCTGAGGCAGCTGACAGGAACCTCTGTGTGTTCAACCCTCAGAAAGCCATTTTGGTACCTTGAGTGGCGACTGGGCACGGTGGGAGGGGTGCAGATCTCMAATCTTGTATTTCAGAATCACCTCTTGCCTTGAAGGGTCTGACCCKGCTCTAGTCTCACACTCCTGTAAGAAAGAAACATTTGGGTTTCCTTGCACTTGGCTGCAGCTGCTCCTGGTGAGAAGTATGGCAGCTGCTCCACACTGCATGAGAGAGCTCTTTGGCAAAAGACACCTGATGGCTGTGCTTGGCTGAATCTGCAGAGGAAAACTGGGGACAGGGAATGCAATTGTTGGAATTTGGCCAGGACCCTGGGATGGAAGACCTGCACTTTTGCTGTGATCATTTGCAGCCAAGGAAAGTGTGCAGAGCCAGCGTTAGGTCTGGATGCACAGCACCATGAGGAATGTCCTGCCCTCTCCATCCATGGGGAATGGGTTTTAATTCTTTGTACATGTCAACTGCGTGAGCCAACCATCTCCCTTAACGTAACTCATAGAAAGGGGTAGTGGCCTGCTCTAATTTTATAGGGGCCATGGGGAAGCTGRTGGTATGTTCTTCTGAAATAACTCTGGTTTCCTGGCCTCGGGTTTCACATATGATTAGGGAAATAAAGGCAAGCGCAGAATCTTGGATTTGTACAGGCTGAAACAGTAGGGATGGAGGAAAAAGGGTTTCTTCATTAGGACTGTGTCTCTTCAACCCTACCCCAGCTGAGACTTTAAGAGTTGAGGGGCTCTGTTTGGGTTTTGAGGYGGCAGTGCTCAATATGCTGAAGTTCTGGTGGATTTGGTGTGAGACAAACTGGTGCCCTGGTCAACCTGAAACTGAAGTTATGAGAACAGCTTCTTTGGTWTCTCTGTTGATTTGTATCATCCCTAACACGTAAACAGCCCCGAACCCAACGGAAGGGAGAATTTTGCCTTGRTGACCATTTCTAACCCCTCAATTATTTTAAGATCCTTTAGAGATGAAGATTATAAAATCATCATAGATGAAAAAAATAATTTTTGTGTTGTGTTTTGGCAGTGGGTGTTTGTTTTGGCACCTGAAGGGGTGGTGAACTCTGTAACCTAACTCATGGATGTGACTCATATCAAAGTACAAATGATAAATGAATGTAGCTGGTATTGATCCCAAATTTGACATCACTTTGATCAGCTTCAGGAT